GGATCATGAAATCTACAACCTTGACTGTAAATAGCTCTGGTGGCACAATGGTTAAGCACTCAGTTGCTAACTGAAAGGTCAGTGGTTTGAACCGACCAGCCACACCACAACAGAAAGATGTGGCAGTCTTCTCCCATAAAGATTACACCTTGGAGACAATATGAGGGAGTTCTACTCTGTCCTACAGGGTTGCGATGAGCTGTTATTGACCTAATGGCAATGGGATGAGATGACCATAAATCATGTATATATCACAAGCAAAAACCACTTTTTTGCTTTGAATGTGATATACTATGTCATTCTGGCTTTTTTTAATATGTACAAGGGAAACAGCTTAAATCTTTAATTTCGATGCTTCGTGACTATACTGCTCTCTTTCTCCCTATTACAAGTTTGAGAAAATCACAAAGATCTTAAAAGCTGTTCTAGGGATGGTGGGTGATTAGTTTTTATAATACCAATAAATGCTTGAGAAGTTGGCCAATATAACTTTGTTTTGGTAATCAAAAATAATGAATTGTTTAATACATACATAAACCAAACACAAACCAAATACATTGCTGTAGAGTCAGATCCGACTCATAATGACGCCCCTCCTTGGGTTTCCAAGGCAGTATCACTATGGAAGTAGATTGCCCAACCTTCCTTCCGAGGAGTGGCTGGTGGGTTTGAACTGCCAGTCTTCTGGTTAGCAGTCAAATTCCTTAGGCACTACGTTACCGGAGCTCTTAACACATATATACATATATGCATACATACACTTTTCTAAAGGAAGTATTGCCTTGGTAACTGCCATTGAAATTTTCTCAAAGAGTTATTTTAGGAGTATTTCTATTATTGAATTATTAGGTATCTTATTTTTAGGGAAAACAGGCATGCTTTATTCATTGGAATAATATTTGTCATTAAAAATAGTTATAGATATGTTTGATTTCTTAATAAAATTCTTGTAAGGCTGTTCCACTTTTCTGGAAAAATCTGTATTTTTAAAAGAGAAATAAAAGAACTTTCATTATTTTGTTGTTATTGGCTGCCACTGAGACAGCTCCAACTTATGGTGACCTTACGTGTAGCAGCATTGTATTCTTTTGATTTTTACCTATAACATAAAAACTGGATTTTATTAGCCTTTTATTCTTCATCCCTTTCTCTAGCCCTCGGACTATCAAACTGATCTCAAATTTATCTTTATAACATCAATGGCTGAGTTACAAAAAAATGAAACACACTGCCGTCAAGTCAGATCTGACTCATAGCGGCCCCTCTTTGGGTTTCCAAGGAGGTATCACTACAGAAGTAGATTGCCCAACCTTACTTCTGAGGAGTGGCTGATGGGTTTGAACCGCCAGCCTTCTGGTTAGCAGTCCAGAAGCCTTAGGCACTACAGCACCAGAGCTACCATGGCTGAGTTATGTGCACAAATAAGCATGTCTTTTATATAAAGATATTCACTTACAGGGAATGAGGTTATTTCAGGGAGGTTGTTTATCCAAATAACTGAAGTGTAATTTTAAAGCAATAAAACTTTGTCTTTCTAAAACAGATTATAAATTTTTTAGCCTTTTAAAACAGAATATATATAATATATAATCTTTTCTTGATAATGTGATTTATGAAACTACAAGACTCTTGAGGACTCTCTGGTTATCTTCCTAACACAGTGCTGGCTAGCAATAGGCCTTCGTGTGTGTACTGGATACCCTCTTTTGGATAGGAGAGGTTGGAAAGTACTTTCCCAGACTCCTTTGCAGCCAGAGTTCTGATTGTGAATTTACTCTCTTGCAAGGTTTGGGGGTAGATGTGAGGCAGAAGCCATTTTTCCTGCTATGTTTTAGCTAACTCTTCAAGAAACATCATAGGAATGTGATTTTTCTAAAGTAGCGTTCCAGAATCCATCCTCCAGCTATCCAGGTTTGGAGAGGTAGTACAGTGCCAGCAACAGCAGTGACAGCTTCTTGAGTTCCGCTTTCTGATCCCTGAATCACAGCTAAGGGAGTATATGTTTTTACTGCATTGTAATTCAATAAAAATAATGAAATAATTTGCCTTTTTATAGGGTAAAATTAAGTATTTTTTCATATATTAACAGAGTTAATATATGATATTGTGCAACTGTCACCAATATCTAATTACAGAACATTTTTATCACCCTAAAAAGAGACTCCTTATCCATTAGCGGTCACTCCTCATTGCTCCCTTACCCCAACACCTGGCAACCAGTAATCTGCTTTCTGCTACTGTGATTCTGGATTACTGCATGTAAACGGAATCAAACACTATGTAGCCTTTTGTGTTTACATTCTTTCACCTAGCATAGTATTTCTGAGATTCCTCCATGTTACAGCACATATGTACTTCATTCTTTTTATGGTTGAGTATTTATTGTTCAAATTCACCCAGAGATGGTTTAGAAGAAAATCCTGGCAATCTACTTCCAAAAGGTCACAGCCATTAGAAACCCTATGGAGCCCAGTTCCAAGATGACACACACAGGGCCACAATGGGTCACAACTAACTCCATGCAAACTGGTTTTTGGTTTGGGTATGGATATATTGCATTTTGTTTATCCACTGATCAGCTGATGGGTTGTTTCTACTTTTTGGTATTATAAATAATACCACTATGAATATTCATGTACAAACTTTTGTGTGGATATATATTTTTAATTCTCTTGGGTATATACATAGGAGTGGAATCGCTAGGTCACATAGTAATTTATGTTTAATTTTTTGAGGGGCCACCACTGTTTTCCAAAGGGGCTGTACCATTTTACATTCCTACCAGCAATGCATGATTCTAATTTCTCTGCATTGTCACCAAGGTTTGTGTATCTTTTTTATTATGGTTATCCTAGTGGTCATGAAGCAATTTTGATTTTCACTGCCTTAATGACTAATGATGTTGAGCATCTTTTTATGTGTTCAATGGCCATTCATATATTTTCTTTGAATGAATGCCTATTTAAAGGATATACTTTTGAGCTCATGCCTCCTGTGGCAGCCTCAGAAACAGTAGCTTCCCTAGAGGGTCAGTTCCACCTGTCCTGAGATTTAACTCCAAAGGCACTGCCTCACCTGTTCTTTAGCCCTTCCAACAACTTCTCAGCACCTAACTTTCTGAATTCAATTCTTTCCTGTTTAAAAAATCTAGAGTGTTTTATTTCTAGCATTGAAATGACTGATAGAGCCCTCAAAAATATCACTCAGAGGATATCTGTTTGGTTGTTTCTTATTTTATTGCTGTGTTGTGCAAAGAAAACTGAGGTTGCTGGACTAGTCACTTCTTGTAAACTATCCTACTAATTGTGCATGTATTAGTTTTCTGTTGCTGCGATAACAAATCAACCCAAAGTTAATACCTTAAAACAACACAAATTTATTATGTTACAGTTCAGTAGGTCAGAAGTCCAACATGGGTCTAACCAGGCTGACTATATTCCTTTCTGGGTATCCTAAGGGAGGATCCATTTCCCTCATCTTTTGGGTTGTTAGCAGAACTCAGTTTCTTATGATTGTAGGACTGAGATCCTTGTTCTCTTGCTATTGTAAGTTCAGGGCTATTTCCAGCTGCTACAGGCCACCTACATTCCTTGGCTAATGGCCTCCTTTCTCCATCTTCAAAGCCAGCAACAGCAGGTCCAGTCCTTCTCAAATTTCACATCTCTCCTTTTTTTCATCCCATCTCTGGGACCCTCTCTTCTGCCTTCCTTTTCTACTTTTATAGACTCGTGATTAGACCGGGCCCAAAATGAAAATTCAGGATAATCTCAAGATCCTTCACCTTAATCACATCTGCAAAGTCCCTTCTGCCATGTACAGTAATCTATGCACAGTTTTTGGGGATTATGGTATAGATATCTTGGGGGCTAGGGGGAACATTATTATGCCTACCACAACACGGATCTTCACATTTAACTATTCCAAGTCGGAATTCATTTGACATTAAAATTTTCATGACAATTTATTGCCACATTCATATGTAGGTAATTATTTTTTCAAAGTACTTCAACTATCTCATAACTATAATTTATTACTATTAATCATCATAACCATGATCTGAAGGGATAAAATACACAGATATTTTATGACACTAAAGCCCCTAAACCAAGTTTATGCCACTTTTTCTAGCACTGAGACATAGCTGAGTAATACCATCTTATAATTAAGTAGCATTTTATAGTTTTATAAGTGCTCTTGTATCCATCTACTCTCTCATTTGTGCTTTAAAATATCCTTGGGAGGTACAAGAAAATGGAGCAAGTGTCTTATTATTCCCTTTTCTCAGATGGGAACTTCAGAAAGATTAATTGCCTACCAAAGTAAGCTAAATTTAAACATTTCTTTCAGAAGAAGTGGTATTTAAAGAAAGGGGCATGCAGGAAGTAAACTGATACATGGTCTTACTTAAAAAATGATCAGTTCACAATCTTCCTAGAGCAAATGCTGACATTTAGAATAGGAATTTTAGGAATGATATAAAAACAACAAATGGTATTTGATGATTTGATCTGAAACAGGCTAAGTGTTCACTTTGAAGAGAACCAGGAATTATGTACTTGTTACTGAAGGTTTTCCACACTGTGAAGCTACATTACCTTACTCTTTCATCTCAGATGTATGCAAAAAAAAAAAAGATACACATACAGATAAAAGACAAAGCCATCTGACCTGTGTGATCTTGTCCCTTTTAGTACAACAAGGGAAAGGAAAGTATAGGGTCAAGTACACAAAGGCATGCAAACAAACTTAAGCAAACCAGAAGTATGAGGAGCCAGCATTTACTGCCATCCTACTGATAATACTCATATGCAAGAAGGTGGTCCTTTTCCCCCTTCAGACTGTATTCTGATTCATGAAAGATACCTCAAATTAAAATCTACACTTCTATAATTTCTCCAATCCTTCCCCTCTCAAAAACTCATATATAATAAGAAAATTACATAACATTTCCTTCCTTACTATTTTCATCTGACTGTTCCCCCACTATCCTCCTCCTTTACCTTCCAGCTCCTGTTAGGGAGACGGGATGGTCAATCAGGTATTTGAACTTGTTCCTTCGAACAGGGTGATGCCAGACATGGTCTACAGGGCGCAGAAGGCTACCCTAGGAAAAAGCAAAAACACACGAATACACAGCAGAGGGCGCTCTAATCAATTGAAATCTATTTTTAATAGTTTTGAGTATTTACATTAAGGGCATTTGGATACTTTACAGAAAAAAAGAGTAAAATTCTTATTCCATATTAGTAGAAAGATTGATAGTAGAACAGTTCTATAGTAAAAGAAAAACATCAACAGTAAGTGAATATAAATGATGACTAATGATTTGTGGAAGGAGCCCTGGTGTCACAAGTTAAGCCTTCAACTACTAACCAAAAGGTTGGTAGTTCAAACCCATCACAAAGGCACCTTGGAAGACAGCCTGTCAACCTGTTTCTGAAAGGTCACAGCCTTGAAAACCCTATAGAGTAGTTCTACTCTGCAAACATGGGGTCACCATGAGTCAGAATCGACTTGACTCTATAGCAACTACAACAACAATCATGTTGGCAAATCCACATAAAACCAGTTTATACTCAAGCATTTGCCTTGGAAACATATATTCATGCAAAAGATTTTAGTTTTCAATCTAAGAAATGTCAAAAATATGTTTTTAAGACTATCTGGAATATATAATATATGCTCACTAACTCCTTATTTAAATTAGTATAAAAAAGATGATTGTTCCCAAGTATTTTACATATATACATGTACAAACCTTTGGAGTTTTACTTTTCATAGGAGGCAGTAAGTTTTCAGGACAAGCACCAGCATTGGCTGCAGAGGTCAGAGAAAGAAGAATTTCCTGAGGTATGAATTCATTCTGGAGGGAAGGAGGAAGGGGTTTTGAATGATCCACCATATTATTTTTCTCTCTCAGTTCAGGAAGTCCTGAGAAAGTAATGGGAAAGAAAAGACCTTACTGTAGTTTTTTGGAGAGTTCCCAGACCACCTCATCCACTCCATCTATGTTTCTAACAGAGAGGAACACTGCTTCTAGATGACAAGAATAGTAACAAACAATATTTTAAACAGAGATGATCATCTAGTCAAGACAAATGAACACATTCCCAGCCCTACTCACACATCAGACATGGGTTCAAAAACTCAGGTACAAAGATGAACTTCCATTATTCCAAATGCAAAGTTAAAAATTAAACTCACTTTACTCACTCAATTAGAATACGCTTAAAATGATGAGGGGGTGGGAAATAAATATATATATATAAGCAGCTCTGGTGACATAGTGGATAAGCCATTCGGCTGCTAACTAGGTCAGTGGCTCAAAACCCATTAGCTGCTCCATGGAAGAAAGATGGGCAATCTACTTCCATAAAGATTTACAGCCTTGAAAACCCAACAGGGGTCACTGAGTTGAATCGATTTCATGATGGTGATATATATACATATATATGTATATATATATATGCATATATATGTATATATATATATATGTATATGTATGTGTATATATATACACACACATGCACACACACACACATGTATCTATATATTAGCACAGTGGTTAAAGCATTTGGCTACTAACCAAAAGGTCAGCAGTTCAAACTCATCAGCTGCTCCATGGGAAAATGATGTGGTCTGCTTCTGTAAAGATTTACAGCACTGGAAACCCTATGAGGCAGTTCCACTCTGTCCTATAGGGTCACTGTAAGCTGGGACTGACTCAGTGGCAGTGGAGATACACACACACACACACATGAAAATCCTCTATGATGTGAAAATGACTAAAGAAAGCTCCACTCCTCAAAACTGTCAAATTATTTAGTAATTTTTCTATGCATGTTCAAAGGAGAGAATGGTTGCATTAAGTTTTGGCATTTATACAGTGGAAAGGATCTCTAAAGTTAAGAGAAGAATTGGGATAGCTAGAAATAAAGACAAGACATTCCAGGTAAGGTGAGATGATGTGAGCAAATTGCTGAAGTAAGAACAGTACAAAGCTTGACAAGGGCAGAAAAGTTATAAAGGTAGGGTTAATACAGGAAAAGGCCTCCTACAAAGTAGGTCAAGTAGAGTTGCTCTTCAAGGACTCTTCACTAATCTATGCCCCTCCCACACTATGGCTTATATTAATTTCTGTAAGAAAGTATCACACTATGATCACCATTAAAACTTCTAAGATCCACATTACCAAGTCTCTGTCTCTAGAGAAAGGAGGTCTGGTAGCACAGTGCCTAAGACATCTGACTGCTAACCAGAAGGTTGATGGTTCAAACCCACCAGCCACTCTATGGAAGCAAGACTGGGCAATCTTCTTCCGTAAAGATTTACCACTTCAGAATCCCAGTGGGTGTCACTATGAGTCTGTGTAGAAGTTCAGTTTGTGTGTCAACTTGGCTGGACCTGGTTGAATGGCAGGGCAGCTTGATATAGTATTCCCTATGATGAGAATAGTAATCATCTCCATGGAGGAATCTGCTTCCTGTATATAAGGAGAAGCCTTGGGGAATGGTCTCCAGCTTATGGCACACTTGGACCCTGCCTGTAGCTGTGTCATTGTTCAGCAGCCTGCCATGCTCTGCCGACCTTGGGACTTACAATGGACTTGAATTAATGGTCTGCCGTGTGGTTTGGTAACATCAGGACTGTGCCTTTTTACTTGTCAATCTTGGGTTTGTCAGCCTCAGCAGCCAGCAGCTGTCTGAGTGAAGAAACACCTCTAGCTCCAAGGGGACTGGTGCTGGAGGCAGAGCTGAAGCCCAGGGCTGAGAGGCTTTCACCCACCCCCTAGAGCCTGGCACTTTGAACTCAGACTTAAAGCCACTAAACTAAGAGAATGAACTCCTATTTGTGAAGGCCATCCCATTTGCGGTATATTTTTGTCAGAGTGGCACTTAGGTAACCAGAACAGTAGGAATCAACTTGAAAACAGGGAGAAAAAAAGGAGGGAAGGAGAGAGAAGTTTTAGTAGATCTCCCCTAAAAATAAGATGAGGTTGGAGAAAGCCTCAGCATAGTAGGGGTAGTGACAAGTCTAGGTGATTCTTTCTCTAGTACAGATCAGCAATTATCTGTATATGAATTAAAACCTTAAGTAAGGAATTAATCTCATTTGGAAAAATTACTAAAACCTGATCTAAATTGGGTGCTTATACTAGATTGCATCTGGCATTCTTTCCATTTAAAAGTTCCTTAATGTCGGAAACCAGGTACCAAAAAGTGTTTCTCTGGCATAGAATCAGGTGTATAGAGAGAATTTAAGACTAAAACTCAGCAACATTTTTTGGGGGGAAAAAAAAAAAGTAAATCACAGCCCAAGAGTTGTTAAAACAGGACTGATAAATAAAATTACCTTAAAAAAAAAAAAACGGCTTTTGATTTTATTTAAACCAACGTGTTAGAAACATTTAATGAAGGCATTCTGAAATTTAAGATCAGAGAAATCTTAAATCTTAACTGTGACTTCCGTCTATAGCCATGATTACTTATGTTGGTGGGATCTTTGAAGAAATTTACCTCTTGTCTCTTCCTTGGAAGCAGATACTTTTAATTTTTTGCCTTCAGGCGTTGACGCGCCGTTAAGCAAAGTGGAAGGCGTTTTAGGGAGAGACATAATAAACAATGTCTTTCTTATTTAGTTAATTTTAAAATATTTTTCTGAAAAGGTAGCCTAGAAACAAATAAGCGCCGTAATGGGACTTTGCATGAACGCCATATTGTCCTGCAGGGAACAAAAAAGATTAAGTGCTTAAATTAATACTGGGATTCAGAACTTATCCAACACCGGTTTTTCTTCTTTCGGGAGACTTAGGCGCTCACTCAAGTCACCTGACATATCTATGAAGCCTGTAAGTGCGTCCGGGTCAAGGCCCAGGCCCGGAAAGGCTCGCTCGCAGCACCCTACTCCTAGGTCGCGCACACCACCTACGGTGCCGCTCGCTCTAGGAAGGTCTGACTGCGCCCTGGTGCACGCCCAGCTTTTCTGACTCAGGGGTCCGGCAGAGTGACCACCATTTCCGAATCTGAAGTGACGGGAACCGGAAACCTTCAATCCACACCCGCAAATTGTCTTCCCCGCCAGGCAATAGCTCGCCTCGCCTCTTCCTGGAATGCTCGTGTGTCGTCATAGAAACCCAGGACCCGGACCCCTAGCAACCATTCATAGGGGTTGTCTTAGGCGGTGCCGGCAGAGAAGGGAAATAACAGCAACAAACTTCTACAATCTCCCGTAGTTTCGAAGTGTTTTAATTTACAGCACAGGTTCAATGGCAATATAAAAATATCTAATCGGGCGTCCTCACGGACTCCGAAAGTGCCTTGAACGCAAGGCTTCCGGCGACGAGCTGGCACCTAACTGCCACCACCAGGGTTTTTTTGTTTTGTTTTTTTTTTAATTGTGATTTGGGTGCAGATAGGCAAAACAGATTAGATTTACTCACAACAGTTCATGCACTTTTGATTTCATGGCGGATTACAATAAAAACAATTAAAAAAAAAACTCTCCCTCCCGTCCCTGTGATTACCCCTACCCTGTCCCCTTCTTATCTATGCATTCCTGTCTGTCCAGTTGTCCCTCTGTGTGAATGCTGCCCCTCCGATGTCTCATGGCTGATTGATCTAAGGGATGCATCTCCTTGGGGTAGGTGTTTTGCTTTTAGGTCTTTCTATTGTTGGTCTGAGAGCCAGTCCACACAAGTGAGGCCATTTCCAGGCCCAAAGAATAACGGCATTAGTCGCTGGTGTTCCACCAATCTCCATCCAACCAGTAACTCTGGTCATTTTTGTGTTTTTGAATTTTGTTCCACATTTTTCCTCCCACTCTACCTAAGATCTCCAATTCTGATCCCTTTTGGAGTGGTTAGCATTGGTAGCCGGGCACCATCTAGTTATCCTGGTCTCAGGGTCATGAAGGCTTAAGTTCTGGTCCATGGTATCTTTGGACTAATTCTTTCCAAATGACTTTTTCCTCACTCTTCTTTGCTCCAGAAGAGAGGAGACCAATAATTGCATCTTAGATCTGGGATTATTTTAAAAGACAGAGCCTTAATGCCAGATAATGAATGCCAGTGGAATTCCAATGTCAAGCCGCCTCTAATCTCAAAGATTAAGTTCAGGAAGGAAGAAAATTTATCTTGTTCACTCCTCATCTTCCTTAGTACCAAGCACAGTGTCTGGCACAAGAGCCTTCAATACATGATTACTGCAACTCAGCGTGTCAGCTCTGCTACTTTGTGTTGATGGACTTTGAAGCTTTAATTTCCAGGATAATCGATAGCAAAGATAAACACAACAGCAGAATTTCTATGGACCCTTTTAATTCTTGTAGTCAAATACTTTGAGTGCTTGACCCTATCTCCTGTCACCCTAATTTTTCTCCAGATTTTCAAAGAATTAAAATACTTGCATAAATCACTATCTAGTTCATCTTAAAGATTGGTATTCATGAAAACAAGTGATGAGATGCTGCCCGGCTACCAACATCAACCACTCAGAGAGGGGATAACTGCAGGAGATCCTGGATAGAGTGGGAGAAAATGTGGAACAAAACTCAAGATGA